GGCCATGATCTTCTGACAATCATCCTGGATGCCCCGGAAGGAAGGCATGTGTTGGTACTGGTGGAGGATGCAGCGGGCTTTGCTGTAGTACCGAACTGCCTGCCCGTAGGCCGCCAGCTCCACGCACTTGGTCAAGCGGGCCGGAAGCTCAAAGAGGAACTGCAGCTTGCGCAAAAGCGCATGGACACCTGTGGTTGGGAGGGAGACTCAGGTGATGCTCTGCTCCCTTTGGGAGCTACCACACATCCTTCTCCAAGGTGTAAGCAGGGTTGCCAAATCTGTCAGTCAGATATGTAAGTAGTCCTCGACTTACGACCATAACTGAGCCCGACATCTCCACTGCTAAGCGAGACACTTGTTAAGTGAGTTGTGCCCCGTTTTATGACTCCCCCCCATGTTTAAGTGAATCATTGCAGCTGTTAAATTAAGCCGGTTGTTAAGTGAGTCTGACTTCCCCGTTGACTCTGCTGGTCAGGAGGTCACCAGAAGTTATTATATAACCTCAGGACACTGTAACCGTCATAAATATGAGTCAACTGCCAAATAGCAATAGCCCTTAGACTTATATACTGCTTCACAGCCCTCTCTGAGCAGTTTATACAGTCAGCATATTTCCCCTGACAATCTGGGTCCTCATTTTACTGACTTCTGAAGGACGGAAGGCTGAGTCAATCTTGAGCCGGTCACAATCGAACTTCCTGGTAGTGGGCAGAGTTTAGCCTGCAATACCACCTTCTAAGCCCTGTACCAACACGGCTGCCTTCCTTCTCATCTTCCTTCCTTCTCATCTTCCTTCCTTCTCCTTCCTTCCTTCCTTCCTTCCTTCCTTCCTTCCTTCCTTCCTTCTTGTTTCTCTTCCTTCTCATCTTCCTTCCTTCTTCTTGTTTCTCTTCCTTCTCATCTTCCTTCCTTCCTTCTCATCTTCCTTCCTTCTCCTTGTTTCCCTTCCTTCCTTCCTTCTCGTTTCTCTTCCTTCTCATCTTCCTTCCTTCTCCTTGTTTCCCTTCCTTCCTTCCTTCTCATTTCTCTTCCTTCTCATCTTCCTTCCTTCTCGTTTCCCTTCCTTCTCCTTGTTTCTCTTCCTTCTCTTCTTCCTTCCTTCTCATCTTCCTTCTCATCTTCCTTCCTTCCTTCCTTCCTTTCCTATAGCAAGACTTATATATCGCTTCACAGTTCTTTACAGCCCTCTCTAAGCAGTTTTCAGAGTCAGCCTATTTCCCCCGACAATCTGGGTCCTCACTTTACTGACCTCAGAAAGACAGAAAGCTGAGTCAATCTTGATGTGGTGAGAATCGAACTGCCGAACTGCCAGCAATTCGGCAGTCAGCAGAAGTAGCCTGCAATACTGCACTCTAACCACTGCGCCACCATGTCCCAATTTTGGCCACAGGGGATGCGGCAATGGTCGTGAAAAATAGTCAAAACTCCCTTTTTCCCAGCACCATTGTAACTTCGAATCATCACTAAATGAACTGTTGTAAGTTGAGGACTACGTTTATGCCAAATCTACATTCTACCCACCACCCTCATTGCTCTTCCAGAGTTCTTTGCCCTCTGCCCTTACGCTGGTTATAATATAATGTAAGTTATAATGTAAGGAGCAACTTTTATAGAGACAGAGTTGATGGAACAAATCGAGTTGCCGATAAACATTTGTTTAGTGACAATTCAAAGTTACAACGGCACGGAAAAAGGCGACCAGAGGACCGGGAGTTACTCTGGTTGCAGCATCCCCAGGCTCATGTGATGGGAATTCGAACTCTTGGCAACCTGGCCTGTAGTTACGAAAGTTGCACATTTCTGGGGCCAAAGAATCGCCGTTTGGCAACATCCGATGAGTAAAGTCAACGGGGAAAGACGAGTGCGGCAATTCGCTTAACGAAGCCTTGCATAAAGGTGTCGCAGTTGGACACGGCTCCCGTATTAAGCGCCTCGCTTAGTGACGGAAGTTCAGGTCCCAGTTGCGGTCGGGAGCCGAGGTCTGTTTGTCGTCAACTGGTTGGCTCCTGAGACAACGGGGCTGTTTGTGATGAAGATGGGGAATTATCTAAAAATAAGATTTTCGACGAATGAGATAGCTCTCATCTTGCAGCAGAGGTGACACAATATTTGTAACTACCGTACTTTTCCAATTATAAGACGCACCTGATATAAGATGTCCCTAAATTTAGAAGAGGAAAACAGCAAGAAAAATGTTTTTGGCCTCCGCGTGCCCCATTTTTGGCTGGGGGGGGGGCTTTTTTCTGTCCTTTTCCAGCCTTTTTTCTACCCATTTTCGAGGCTTTTTTCAGCCCTTTTTCAATGCATTTCTGGCCCATTTGGGGGGCTTTTTTCAGCCCATTTTCGAGGCTTTTTTGGCCTGTTTTTGAGGCTTTTTGGGCCCATTTTTTGGCCTGTTTTCGAAGCTTTTCCCAGCCCACGCACTGTACAGTAGAAGCCATTTTACGGCAGTACACTAGAAGCCATTTTAAGGCACACCAGGCTGTATCTTAACAGAACACAACCCCGAGGGCTGTTAGGGGTATCTTACTCCCACAGTATTTGTTTCCAGAGAGTAAGTCATCTGTGTACCACACACGTTTTTATATATATATATAGATTAACCTATCTGCCTAAACCCTCCTTTGGGTTTGAAAGGAAATGCATAATTAGAACAACAGCCTGACTCTATGCTTCACTGAATCTTATTGTAGAGATGATTATGGCTCCTTTATGACTTGTGGACTTCAACTCCCAGAATTCCTCAGCCAACCAGGAATTGACTGGCCGGCAGCTAAAAGTCGTAAAAGAGGCCATTGTTTCTCATCCCTGTTATAGACCATCATTTTCTTTTAATGACTCCACAATCCCTTGAGGGGTGGAGTCTGGGCAGCTGAGTGTTTACTGGCCGGATGCCCTTCCCTGTCACCAATACGGAGTTTTGTTCGGCAGATCTATTCTCATTGTGCCCAGAGAGAGAAATATCTGCCTCTACCTAGGATCAAATTCACAGGCTCCTGATGGTGAGGCGAGAGCGCCACCTCTAGGCCACACATCCCTATCACAGACAGACCGGGGATATTAAGCCTCCCGTATCCTTTTGGTTGACCCAAGGAAATTCACAGCTGCCATTGTATCCTTTGGTCTCCTGTCCCTCTAAAACAGTGTTTCTCAACCTTGGCAACTTGAAGATGTCCAGACTTCAACTCCCAGAATTCCCCAGCCAGCATTTGCTGGCTGGGGAATTCTGGGAGTTGAAGTCCGGACATCTTCAAGTTGCCAAGGTTGAGAAACACTGCTCTAAAAGCACCCAGCCGTGCCA